TTAAATAGCCTGGTGATTATCTGTATCCCTGGGGTACTGCTTCCTTCCCTGATTTTGTAATACTCTGGCTTGTCCCTAATCACTGCAGATTGTCACCAGTGTAGAAAAAAAATCTTAAAAGGAATTTAATTTTGATTTCCTTTGACATCCTAGAGAGTTTTCTTTTTAGCTCGGATGGAGACCCAGACTTCTTTCCCACAATGAGAAGATGTAGCAGTTCTCTGTGAACGTCAGAATACTGGCTTGAACATCCTTAAAAAACAAAAGCATTTTCTATGTGACCAGTAAGGTATTAGGCATGCTACATGAATTCTCTTCTTTAATTCTCATGAAATCTATAAATATTAGACTCATTGAAGTTGAAGAACAGAGAGACTAAGTGACTTGCCCAAGATCACTCTGCTGGCTAGTCAGTAGTAGAACGGGGGTTTAACTCAGCCAGACTATTTCCAGGGCCTACGCTCTCAATCAATACGTTATACTGCTTTCTTCAAAGGCTGTGTTCTATTGAGAAATCTAGTGGTGGGAGGATAAGGTAAATTAATTAAGTAATATTTGTAGAAGGGACACAGAGGGCAAGAGGTAAGATAAAGCATCTTTCCCCTGTGTCTTTAGAATGACATGGTTAAGAAAACAAGGAGAGATTATTCCTGCAATAAGAATAGGCAACAGGAAGCATGAATAAGGAGCAGAAATGTGGACTGTAAAGCATTTTATAAAGGAAGGCAGCTTGCAGATTTTCCATTTGCAGTGTTTGTCTCAGTCCCAGTCATCACTGCCACGATCGCCTGGGAATTAATTCCCCAGTGAAAATATCAACAAGGTAGGAAATGTCATAATTATATTTTTTATTATCCCCCAAAGAATATATTAGTATGATAGATATGGCTATAATTTTTTTTAAAAGGAGGGCTATGTAGCAAACACAACTGCTGATAAAATAAAACAAGCTGATGTTTCATCCTCTGGTATTAACAAAAAGGCAAGGGTGAAAAAAGGAGCCTCAGATATTATTCTGTGCCTGTTCTAAAGTGCAGTTGTAATTGGGCAGCTACTGTGCTTCGTGGTTGCTCTATGTTTTTCTCTATTGAATAAACATATATTCAGCAGATTCTGGACAATCTCCTGGAGGTCAGATTGGTAGCAGTGAATGGTCCAAGAAATGATTTGTGGCGCCACCTCATACTAATTGGTGGGGTAAAAGACGCATTGATGCCTGCTTGATGCAAAGATGGCTCTTGGAGGGAGCTGACACTAGAGTGGGCATTTTTGTGATTGCTATGGAATATTGATATGTTAAGCTCTCCTTCCTTGACCTTCAGTTTTTCTGAAGCAATTGCCTGAGATGTTTGCAAGAGCCTGCACTTTTGCCAACCTAGAACTGTGGAAAAATTAATGTCCTGTGGGGAAACCCTTAATCGAAAGAAACCGTGAGCCAATGGTTAACTGTTTCTCTCTTTTGTCCCTTGGGTAGACAGTTATTAGGCTCATTATGTACATTTCCTCATAAGATCAGACAATTCTGAGACTCATTTTAGGTAGTGCTTCATAAGGTCCCAATAAAATCAAGCACAGTTGCCCACAGTGATTTTCAACTTCATAATGTACCTTTGTACTTTCTTTCTTTCTCTTTTTCCCTGTTGTATTCTCTTTAGGATTTGATTCCACTCAGGCTTCCTGGGATCATTTCTAAAACAAACTACAGTAATACCTTGGTTTGTGAGCATAATTCATTCCAGAAACAAAGTACTCATATTGCAAGGCATCGTCGTTTACTGTGTTAAAATGTATTAGAAGTGTTTGCTCGTCTTGCAGAACACTTGGAAAACACGTTACTCACAATCCAAGGCTTTACTGTATTTGAAGACAATTCTTTATTCAGGTTCCACTTTTATGGGCAACCCAGGCTAAGATAATGCCACATCATGAAAGGAGCAATATTTATGGGCTGAAAGGTGATAGGGGGTATTTGTTGAGGACAGTATTGGTATTTAATAGGGTTTTCTCTCCTCTCTCAGATCCCTAAACATTGGAATCCTGGAGGGCTTAGCTCTTAGCCCTCTTCTCATCTTTATTTACACTTTCTCCTTGGATGATCTCCAGTTCTTTGGTTTTAACCAGTACCTCTATTTTGATGACTCACCAAAGTATCTTTAGTCCTGATCTTTTGGTCATACATATCACCTTTTGGATATTTAACAGGCATCTTTTCCATCATCTGTACAAAACAGAATTCTTGTTCACTTCTCAGTAACGCCCTATAAAAACCCTGTTATGCCACTCATCTTCTAATGGCACCACTATCTTCTAGCTATATAGTTCAAACAAATGAAATAAAGAAATCTAGATGTTCTTGACTCAGCCCTTTCCACATAGTTCCTAGCAAGTTCTGTCAATTCCATCTTTATCTCCAGAATAGATTTCAAGTTCATCCACTTATTTCCATCTCCACTGCCATTTTGTTTTAGGCAAGATTATCTTTTTTGTCAGAATCACTGACAAAAGCCTTCTAAAATCAATCTCTATACTGTAGTCAGAATGGTATAAACAAACACATATACACTGCCTGCCTCTTTAAAGCCTTCCCATGACTTCCTGAGGCACCTAGAAATAAAATTCTAAAACCTTGCTGTGCTCCCAAGGCCCTATAGGATCTAGGCCTTGTTTATGTCAGATGTGATTTTCTCCCTTGCTCTCTTTACATTCTTTCAAAAGCCCATTTCTATCTGTCTTTGGGGTCTTCCATTTTCTGAACCTTTTGCCTGAATAGCTGTTTTCTCTGGTTTTCATACGGTGCATGCCTTATTCTTCAGGCCTTGGTACAAACCTCTCTTCTGGAATCATTCTTACAGTCAACACCTGTCTAGAATCGTGCCCTCACCCTGGTTACTTTCTATCGCTTCTTGCTTATTTCTTTCATAATTCTTTTCATAAAATTTATATTGCATCTTCAGCCATTTCTATTTTTTTTTTGTCTTCTCAATTAGAAGGTAAGCTCAATGAGGGTAGGAATCTCAAATGGATCTGGCACATTTGTGGAGTATATTAATGGATAGGCTAGTTATTCCGAGAAATTCCCCTGGATGGGTGCACATAGGAATTTCTTCTTACCTACACTGAGGCAGAGTCTAAGAAACATTCTCTAATTCCTGTCTCAATAATCCACAAATCTCTGCATCTTTGGAACCCTAACGAGACCAAAAGATGGGAGTAAACAACCATTTAAAAAAATTTTTTTTTGGTAAATACGTGAAGACATTCTTATAAACCTTCATTTTTTTTTTAATTTCATATGGTCAGTCTTATTTTCAAGAAGGAAGCAAAACTGATGATTCATCCCTTAGTAATTAAATTTATTATGATCAATTGCATTTTCAATAGCTTTTATCTACGTGGAATAATTATGTCTGAGAAACATGAGGTTTTTCTAGGAAAGGAAAAGACTTCAATTCCATCTAGTCTGTGAAGCTTTTTCTTATTATCAAAATGACTTGGCTAACTTCTAATATAACTCTGCCACACACAGAATGAAATTCCTAGTAATTCTGAACTTCCCGTCTGCCAACTATACATAGATGCATTGTTTCAATTCCCTTCAAAGACATACATATCAAAAACTTCAATACGCTTTAATCCCAGCTTCTTCTTTATTCTACTCTGAATGTTTATACCTGTTACACCAGGGTGCAGTGCCCCAGCTTTAAAGCGTGGGCACAGGCTGGACCTGTTCACTGCACTTTGTGCACTGGGGTCCATCGGGTTCCGTGCTCACCTTGGTAGCCTTCACTTTTTTTTTTTGTTTGTTTGTTTTTAAAGATTTTTTTTTTATTGGGGAATTGGGGGAAGGGGAACAGACAAGTTGCTGTCGTTTTGTTCTTCAGTCTAGTTGTGGAGGACGTTGCTTCACTGGCCCAAGTTGGCACCATCATTGCGTTCTTCCTGGGCGAGGCAGATCAGTCGCCGGCTTCTGGACGGCCGCTCACTGCGGCTGCTGGCCGCTCACGCTGGCTGCTGGCCACACATGGTAGCCCATGGCAACCCACTGCCACAGGGGCTGCAGCCCACGCCATCGCTGGCGACTCATGGCAGCCCAGCTCCAGGTTGAGCTGTTGTTCAGCATCTTAGCTGTGAAGGGCAGTGTCACTGGCCCTCATATGTGGGATCCGAACCGGGGCCCTCTGGCATCCCAAGCGAGTTCTTAACCATCGCGCCACTCGGCCGGCCCGGTAGCCTTTACTTTAAAATTTGGTAACAAATACCACTAGTGCCAAAGGAGTAAACTTTGTTTTTTATCTTTATGGTAAAAATAAAGATGAAACAAATCTAGTCCTGAGCTGATTAAATATTAATACCAATTACTTTTTATTATATTATTTCTGAAAATATTTATAGACATTCACTTCTGTATATCAAAGCTAACATTACATTCTTAGGCAATTTGCTTCTTCAAACAATCTTATATTACAGCATCTTGTACCTTTTTGTAATTTAGGGTTTCCACACACTGGATTTTCCTAAAGATAGAGGCACATGGCTATTATTTGTGATTTAGTTTCTTGGTGTAGAATGACTGTGTCATGGGCTTTGCTATCTGTAAACAAACAAACAAAAAACTGCTCTACCATACACAGATATGTTAAAATTATATCTTCAGATTTTCCAAATTATGTAAAATAATTTGATTTTATGTCTTGCTCCTGATTTTCCTCGTTACCCTTTGAGCATCAGAATGACTTTGAGATTCTGTAGTGCAGAGATTTTCTGTAGTCTAACCTCAGGGAAAACTCATTACCTCCTTTGTAATTACTTGATGGGTATGAGAAATAGCTGCTCAGTGATCAGTCTCATTAATGGGTCTTGTCTTGACTGACTTGAAAAGAACCAAGAAAAAGATCTGACATATTCAATCAGTCAGGTGCTGTCCTTGACACCTGTAAGTAACTTCTATACACTTCACTGCTTCTGCCTATGCTCTATGTTTAATAATCAAATGTTCTTACCATCAGTGCAGAGGAGCCCAGACCTTCCATATGGGCAGAGGCAGACAATACCTGTCCCGGATTTAGGAACACAGGTGGCACCATTTCTACAAGGGCTGTTTTCACAAGTTGCAAGCTGGCACAGCTTGCCTGAGTATGGCTTCGGACACTCACAAAACCAGTTTTCACTATCACTGAGAAGAGAAAAGGGATGATAAATTCAATCAGAAAACAACTGATCTTTCACATATATGTACATGCATGCACACACACATAAATAAAATGACAACTTGTCTAATAAGTGGAATTTTTCCCCTCTCCCTTTCTCTTTCTGTGTTTTTCAACTTTTAAGTATTTGTAGCTGTGTACTTTGGATTGAAAGTAGATTAACAGCTTTATAGATTTGCCCGAATCCATGAATTCTATTTTGAGCCACATATTTTTATTTTTGATTTATCTCCTTTTCTATTTTTTTTCCACACTAGGTGCCCTTTCAGGCCTTCATTAAATATGCATGGTGTTGCCTCAATAAAGTGCTTCAAATATCGATTAGAAAAAAAGTCTTAGGCTCAGAGCTCAGAGGAGAATTTCAAGCCTGGTAATAATCTTCATCAACTCAGGACACCATCCTCCAAGAGCGCCTTTGTGGTAATTCTGAAGGAAAAGCACAGTGGGGGAGCTGTAATGACTACAGAACTCTGCAGTTTAGAATATCATTTGGTGGTCCCAGGGCGGGAGAGCCTGTGAAAGCAGCACTCAGGAAAACCAATCCCCTCACCTGCTGGGGCAGCATCCTCCAGAGAGTAAAGTGATTTGTAATCTGTTGTTTCCGCCTTCCCTGCATCCATTGCCCCCTTTAAAAGTAACAGTAGCTTCAGTTCTCCCTGCAGACTCACCTCTGCCACACTCAGCCTACACTGACTGGGAGGGCTGACCCCGACGCTTGGTGTCAATCACACGGGCCACGCCAGGCTAACTGGCCTTTGTTGCTGGGGTTGCTGAACTGGGAGCTGCTGGTGGCATCTGCCTATCCAGAGGGAAAGCTGGCTGAAAGTAACTAACTAATACCCAGCAACACAAATCTGAGAGACTGGGGGAGACGGCTAATGATGTTATTTGGGCACCAGATCTAGCTGTTACTCTGCGGCATATTTGAATTTAGCCAATACATTTTAAGGCCTATTTTAGTTTTTGAGCCAGTTGGAATTGGGGTTTTGTCATTTGCAGTTAAATGAATTCCGTTTAGTGTTGATGTCCTTTCCTTCCTTTTATTCTTTCTGCTTATTACCTTAAATCCATACACCTTCCATTATATGAATCTTTAGGGTTTTATTTATTTATTTATTTATTCCTGCTTAAATCTTATCTTCTAAACATGACTGTTAGCTCTTAAAGGTAGATGCCAGGACCATGCAGAAAATGAAGAAGCTAGCATATTTTGTATGCATGACTCAGCCTCCCAATATAGTTGTAGAGCTTGCCCACACCAGGGACTTTTTCTCTTGTCCTTCTTATCTTTGTTGTCTTTTGATGCCTTCCTTACATCTTTTCATCCCCCTTAGTCCAAAATAAATTTGCTCACAGGAAAGTCAGATATTTTTTCATACTAATGAATACCTGACTTTGAAATCTGAAGAGGTTTCCTTTTCCAAAAATGGTTATATTCTTATACTAATTTTCTGTGTTAATAGGATGAACCACCATGGAGAAACTTCACGTACCAGATAGCAGGTAAAGCTAGCTTTGGAGGGGTTGAGGCTTCGAGACCCTCAGATTTTGCTGACACATAAGGTGACCAGTAATTTACTCATTTTATAACTTTGATGGCAACTTGCACAGGGCTTTATACAAAACAGGCAGATATAGAATCTCACAGGTTTACAGAGCTGGGAAAAATTTTGAAGCTCGATGTCACTAAGATGGTTACAAAGCACCCTAGACAAACTCTTCTGTCTCTGGGCTACAAAACAAAATTTTGAGGACCATGGAGCCAATGCCGTTGTTTCTTGCCTGAGAATAGTGGTGAATGTATATAACCAGACCACCTGGCAGGTATAGACATACCTTCTGATGTGACTTAAAGTGTTAGTTAGAAACTTAATGTTGTTTGGGGCCATGGATAAATGTAACGTAACTTTGCTTCCACTCACTTAAGTTGGATTTGAAAGCTCAGAATTAAGCATCTGTATTGTGGGATGAAGCCTTGGAGTGTAACGCTCCTGAAAGCTGCATTCTGGAAGGACCAAATAAGTCTTTTATAACAAAGGAGAGCGCTACGTATATGAAAGTCAAATCTAAATATTGGCTGATTGACGTGCTTTAATTATATAGACCTAACCATCTTTGAAATACAGGAAAGATGCTTTTATGTTAAAAACCAAGGAAAGCACTAATTTTAATCATGTCCTATTGATAAATCAAGTTTCGTTTCCTTTTTGCTTTCATCAGGTGTTGGGAGAAGTTGGTTGCATAAATTATGTGGCTATGACTAACTGTGTGCATCTGTACATCAGCAGGCAGCTAGAGCAGAGAGAAAATTAGAAATTCTGTAGAAAACACTCCAGGAAAGGGGAAAATCACCTTATCTGGCTAACCAAGGGCAAGAGTCCACAGCCCTATGGGCCATCTTGACATTCCATCAGCATTTCATTAGAAAGAGTCAGATTGAGCCAGTTGAAATTTTGCCAAATGATGGTGCCTCTGTATACTTCGCTTCAAATTGTACTTTCAAGTCCAAAAGATTTCCTGGAGTGCCAGATATTTCACCAATAGTTTTAATAAAATCTATGTTTGCCATCAGCTGTGTTACACTTGGACCTAAAGGCTTCTTCTATTCAGATTTTACCAGAGATCCCATCATTAAATCCCAACTTCTTTAAAAGCTAACAAGTAAGCTGTTTTTGCTGTCACTTGGTTGATTGTTATGCTCTCCACACTCTGAAGTAAATGGCAGTGTCAACCAGGAAAGTGATGCCCTGTGTAACAGTCTTATGTAACAGTCCACTTTTGGCCACAGTGATTTAAACAATGTCACCCTCCTTCTCCTAGTTTCCTTTAAATGTTGTAACATTGCTGTGAATGGTTGGACACTGTTTAATTAGTTATGAAAGAATATATTCACGTGAACAACATTATTTTTCATTTGAGAAAGTTTTAAAAAGGTTACCCTTCTCAGACCCATGAACCATATAGAAAAGTGTTCTGCAAATCTTCGTCTAGAGAAGTCAGGGCACTTTGCTGAATTAAAAGTAGGTTTGGGAAAGCCCCCAGATATTGGTGAAGTTTTACCAGTACATCAGAACACCATCTTTATTGTCAGTTGCTGTCAGCCAATATTTTCTCTGCACCCATGTCATGGACAGAGCCATGTGCCATAGGATAAGTAAGGCTCGCTTCTGTTCTCATTGGGGTGACAATATAAGTTCGTGAACTAGCTCTGTAAGACACCACATATGTATGCAACAAGAGAATTTAGACAGTGGTGAGGATTGGAAGGTCTTCGGTCTGTCATAAGTGGACTTAGATGTCAGTAGCTTCAAAAAGCTGGTTTCTGTACTGGTTGCAGAGCATGTTACCAGAGGACCTCCCATGTGGTTTTTAAATGCAGATTCCTGTGCTCCCTTGGCCCTCTGAGATTTTGATTTAGGAGATCTGGGGTCAGGCCCAAGATTTTGCGTTTAAAAAATGTCATCAGGTGATTCTTTTGCATAGCCTACTTTGAGCTTAAGCCAGCTCTGGAGACAAATCTTCCCACCAGAGTAAAAGCTTGATGGGCATTAGTTACTATTGTGTCCTTAGCAGGATGCCAGGGTTGGGCTACATTTTGACTTTTGGCTAACATGTATCTGAAAACACAATACGAAGATTAGAGGGTTTTCATTTTATTAGTGCCATATATAGCATATATAGCCTATTACATGTAACAACATGAAGTAGGCAAAAAATTCACGCAGTCATTTTAAAGATTAGTTAAAAAAATATCACTTATCTAAGAGTACACAAGCATCTGTATATTTTAGCATTTTAACCACTACAGCATAGTGTGACTACAAGTCACACTATATTTAGCATATCAAATGTTGTTGTTTTTATGAATATTAAAAATTATCTTTAGAAATTTAGCTGTTTAAAAAAATCAAAGATGTTAGTTTGAAACGGATACCCCCTATTTATATCACACAGCCAGGTGCCTGAAAACCTTCTAGAACTAAAAGGACACCTGGATGTATTAACTTAAAAAAACAAATAACTCTTCCTGCACTCTTTGTATTTAAAGGATCATTAGGGGATTTCAAAATTGACCAGCCACAGTGTCAAGAAGAGGGAGATTCTCACAAGAAAGTATTCAGAATGAATTCTTATGAGTAATGTCTCTAGATAGTTCTAGAAAATAAAATTGCTGCTGGCAGAAAAAGCTCATCTCTAGTATAGGCTCTTCTATTTATAGTACCCAACTCAGGCTCCAGGTAGAATGCAAATAAGATCCCGAGTAACTGTGTGGTTCAAGTGGAACTTTCATTCTGTTTTCATGAACTTCACAGCCCAATAAGAGTCTGGGGATTATAAAGCAATGCCGCCCCACCCACCCAGCCGCAATCTTCCTTAAAAATTTTGAAGTCCTTTCAAATGAACTGTCAGCTGTGTGTGGAGACCTGGTTCTCCAGCACCACAGACAGTCTTTCTTTGTCTCTAAGATAGAGCTGCCTAAAGGGAGAAGGCACACCATCATATTTCACATTTTTAACTTTTTAAAAGTAGCCAAATGTGAAAATAATAGAAAAAAAATGCAAAACCCAAATTACCTTCAGGTGGCCTTGAAAGTGAACTTGGAGGTTATTGTCTATATAGTCTACCCATGAACAGAGAGGGCTCCAGGAAAATTTCCTTCAGCTTCGGGAGCTGTTTTTTCTTTATATGAAAAATTTTACTTAAGGCAGAAAGAAAGAAGATGAAAAAGGATATGAGCACTCATAAAGCCATAGAATCACATGTAAAGAAGTAATACATAAAACAGGGATAATTCACAAATAATATAAAAGTATTTTTGTTGCTTCTTGTTCTAGGATCTGTCCAATTTAATCTCGTGGGTATTCTATGAAGAAAAATTTAACCTATATTGTAATCTCTCTGTTTTTCCCTCTTTCCCTCGTCTCTCTTAAAATCATGATTCACTTTACAAAAAGGTCTTTGTTGG